CTTATATTTGCTTAAGTCAACTCCTAATAAATTGTACTTGCTTGAACGATTTTTCAGCTTTAAAATGGATCCTTCAAAGGATCTTGATGATAATCTGGATGTCTTTAACAAAGTAGTTCAAGACATCGTTAACTGTGATGAAGAGGTATCTGAAACAAGCCTTGGCTCTTGTAGAGAGCCAAGAACTCGTTGGTCACCTTACCAATGAAGATCAAGCACCTCCCAAATACAACACACCAAATCCCAATACCAACACAGCTACAGAACCACAAACACCAGAATTAACAGAAGCTTATATTGCGTGGTGCAAGTCTGAGAGGCTTCTTCGAGGGTGGATCATTGGGAGACTCTCAGAAGAAGCCCTTGGACTTGTTATAGGTCTCGACACAGCATACTCAGTCTGGGAAGCACTCAAGAATGAGTATGCATGGGACTTTCAAGAAAGAGAATTCACACTCCGGCAGTAGGTCACTTATCTTCGTAAGGAAGAAGATAAAACTCTTGGGGAGCACATCCGCACCTTCAAAAGCTTATGCAACAGCCTTGTAGCCATTGGGAAACCAGTCTCAGACAAGGAGAAAGTATTTTATCTTCTCACAAGCATTGGACCTCAATATGAGCTCTTCACCACAACTATGTTAAAACCACCAAGACCTACATATTCGGAGCGCATGTCATAATTACAAAGCTTTGATCAAAGGCATAACTGGTTCTCATGCCATAGCAATGTCACTGCTCCACAAATCACTATGCAATTAGTCTTCTATGGTCAACAACAGCAGTCTCAGCAACTCTCCAGAAATCATGGGTCACAATCTTTTACCTCTACAGGAAGAGGTTTTCAGGCACAACAATCCAGAGACTCCAACAAAAATCATTCAGACAACTCTACTCTTAACACTAGACAACGACGTCCTCCACCCCCAGGCGAACGCCACATGACCCCAGCAGAAAGAGATTTGTACAGAGAAGAATGTTGCCAATATTGTGGCACTTAAGGACACATAGCAAAGATCTGCTGGTGGCTGCCAAAGAAGACTACTCAACAAGACATTCCTCAAGCACTTGCTGTACTCACACTAGACAACACCATTGCAGATACTGAATGGACGTCTGACACTGGTACATCAAACCATATGACAGGTAAGTCGGCCATGTTAACTAATCTACGTAGATACCACGGCTCAGATTCAGTTCTTATAGGGAATGGATCATCCTTGAAAATTCTTAGCGTAGGCGACACAAGTATAAAGCAAAAAAATGCTACTCTTTCTCTTAATAACGTTTTGCTTGTTCCTGATCTTACTAAGAATTTACTCTCTGTTAGCCAGTTAACTAAACACTTTTCAGTAAATTGTGAATTTTCTAATGATGATTTTTGTGTTAAGGATCAAGCAACAGGGCAACCAGTGAAAACAGGGAGTCACAAGGGTAATCTCTATGTCCTCTCCAGTTTCCCGGAATTACATTTTTCTTGCAGACAAAAATTCGGCACAGCAGACTTATGGCATCAACGTTTAGGACATCCTCATGCTTCCGCTCTACAATTACTTAAAAATAAGAGGCTAATTGATGTTATAGGTGTTACAAAATTGAGACATCTTTGTGATAGTTGTCAGTTAGGAAAACTTAGTAGATTACCTTTTTCTAGTTCTAAACAATCAACTACTGCTATCTTTGACAAAATTCATTGTGACTTATGGGGCCCTGCTCCTATTTTATCTATTGGGAAATTTCGCTATTATGCTTGTTTGGTTGATGATTTTTCTAAATACACTTGGATTATTCCTTTGCATCATAAATCTGATTTTGTTGATGCCTTCTCAGCATTTGAACAATGTGTTGCCAGACAGTTCAACAAATAGATTAAAGTTTTTCAATCCGATGGAGGAGGTGAGTTCATAAATTCCAAATTATCATCTCATTTCCTTGCAACTGGGGTGAAACATCACATTTCTTTCCCTTACACTGTGGAGCAGACAGGTATCATTGAACGTCGCCATAGAATAATAAGAGAACTAGGTATGATAATGCTTTTTCATTGTGGTGCTTCGTTGTTTTTTTGGGTAGAAGCATTCATGACAGCTGTGTACCTTATTAATCGCTTACCTTCATCTGCTTTAAATTTTGAAACTCCATATTTCAACTTGTATGGTACTCATCCTGTCTATTCCTCACTTTGAGTCTTTGGGTCAAAATGCTTTCCGTATACATGGGACACTAGGCATAACAAGTTTGATCCTAAAACAGTCCTATGCATTTTTGTAGGCTACAGTGATAAGCATAAGGGATATAAATGTTTTCATCCATCAACCAAAAAAATTTTCATATCACGTCATGTAGTTTTTGATGAAGAAGTATTTCCTTATAAACCTAAGTCTACAATTATGATTGATTCTCACGCTACTCATATTAATAATATTTTTGATTCCTGGTTGCCACCCACAACTGACTTTGGTGATACTAAAGGGACCCCAACGGAGACTTCTACACCGCCGTGTTCAAGCCCACTACCAACACTTATTCCAGCTCAAGAACATAATAATTCATTGGCTGATGTAGTCACAGCAGTTCCTTCACCTCTTCTCAACAATGAAATGTCACCCCAAGCTCCAATACCGTTACACACAGACAATATCCCATCTCCACTATCTTCGCCAACTAGAGACTCATTAAGTGTCACCGCCTTACTTGACAATCCCACAAACATCACCACGTCTACTATCACACCATCTGCTTTATCTCCTACCAATGAACCCAGTATTAGCAGCACTTTATAAGTTCCTCATCCTATGATAACGCATTCTCGCCTTGGTGTGGTTAAACCAAATCCTAAGTATGCCTTGCCCACCATAACTTCCACAATTCCCCGTGAGCCACATAACATCATATCAGCCTTAGCTCATCCTGGTTGGAAAGCCGCTATGGAGGAGGAACTTGCTACCTTGCATAAAAATCAGACTTGGAAACTTGTTTCCCGCACTCCAGAAAATGCACGTTATAAGGTCAAAGTGGGTCTTCAAGCCAAAACTCAAACCTGATGGTACATTGGGTGGGCTCAAGGCCCGCTTGGTTGTAAAGGGATATCATCAAATTGATGGCATAGACTACACAGAGATCTTTTCTCCAGTCATCAAACCAGGGACAATTCGTATGATCCTAACCATAGCACTAGTTCAGAAATGGCGCATTCGACAACTTGACGTGAAGAACGCATTTCTACATGGTTTAATTTCAGAAGATATATATATGGAACTACCACCAGGATTTGCAGATTCACAACATCCAACACATCTGTGCAAGCTACAATGAGCTATTTACGGATTAAAGTAGACACCTCACGCTTGGTTTGATCGGTTTAGTACTTTTTTCCTTAAATTTGGTTTTTTTTTTTTTTTTGCAGTTTAGCTTATCCATCCTTATATATTTTTCACTCTAATCATGGCTCACTAATTTTGCTTCTTTATGTAGGTGACATGTTGCTCACAGGATCGACTTTGGATTTGTCACTTCGTTTATCTAAATTCTTAGTAGTGAATTTGCAATGAAAGACTTAGGGCCAGTTCATCACTTCCTTGGCATAGAAATTTCCCAATTATCTGATGGTCTTCATTTGTCACAGTCACACTATGCTCTTACCATACTGGAGAAAACGAAAATGGTTGATTGTATGCCCATGAATACACCACTTGAATCAAAGAGAAAAAATCCTATTACTTCCAAACCATTAGAAGACCCAAGTTACTTTCGAGGGATAGTTGGTGCTCTACAATATCTTACACTTACTCGGCCAGATCTTTCCTTTAGTGTCAATTATATATCCCAATTCATGCATAACCCCACAATGGCTCACTTGAAAATGGCTTGACGTATACTCCGTTATGTCAAGGGCACAATTCACTTAGGTTTATATTTCACATCAAATACTTCACTTCATCTGTGTGCTTTTTTAGATGCAGATTGGGCTGGTTGTCCTACAACAAGATGCTCCACCACTAGATATTGCACTTTCATTGGTCAAAATCTCATATCTTGGTGTGCCAAAAAATAGAATACAATCTCTCGCTCTAGCACTGAAGCTGAATATCGTACCATGGCCAATACAACAGCAGAACTAACATGGATGACTTTCATTCTCAAAGATTTACGCATTCCACTTTCCAATCCCCCAACGTTATACTGTGACAATATCAGTGCTCTCCACATGACAATTAATCCAGTTTTTCATGCTCGTAGTAAACACATCGAACTGGACTATCATTTTGTGCGCGAACGAGTTGCTCTTGGTCTACTTGTCACTCGACATATCTCCACAACAGAACAACTAGCTGATTTGTTCACCAAACCAATGTCCAAAGCCGCTCTCCATTATTTCTGCACCAAATTCTGCCTTAGCCCCCAGCACAGTTTTTTGGAAGGGTATTAGTAGCACTTTACAGGTTGGAAATACAAATCTTTGTGAGGATAAATGGAGTTACAAGGAGTCCCTACAATCTTGGAGAGATAAGGAAGAAGATCCTCTCATTCAAAGTGATAAGGCCACATGTTCAGAGAAGTTGAGTGATAAAGGAAACCAAGGATGACTAGTTCAAACCAAAATGCTTATCCAACGAGATGCAACACATCTGGCATGAAAAACAGCATCAGATTCAAGAAGGATGCAAAAAGATCAGATCAGTTTAAAGTTTGAATTTTTTTTAGAGATTTTTGTGCAAAATAGTTTTTATTTGTTTCACTATATGTTTTTCCTATTTAAAGAGGACCTGTGTAACTTCTATTTTTAAGTGCTCACGTTGAGTAAAAAATCTTCAGTACAACAGGTTGTTTGTCCATTTAAAGATTATATCAGTTCCAGTTTTCTTCTCTTTAGAAATATCAGGGGACGGAGTGTGTGAAATTCTATTTATGTCGAAACATATTTTGAGTTTTAGATGCCAAATGAAAATTGTACCAGAATGTCCACTTCAGTTGTATGGATATTCTAATGTAAGAATGAGTAGTCTTTTCTGTTGGACTAAATTGGGATTTCTCATTCAGCCATGATCATTGAATTGGCTTTATTAATAGAATTCAAAATGAAAATACTAATTAAAAACACTTCAAACTCTGTCATGACTCATAATTCTGTTACATTTTATTCAGTATAAAATATATAAATCTTCCTGTTGTTCAATATCAATTTAATTACAACACAACAGCCTTCAGTTTCCATTACAAACAATTACAACCATTTATAAATCTGCAACTCGAATGGGATCTTATCAGGAACAGAGTTAGGTTGGTCGACTTGTGGCTAAAGCACCGCCGAATAACCCTATGGTGACCTAAAATATTTGGAGATTGTGTTTTAAGCATGTGACTACAATTTCATTCGGCATACCCAACAGCAAAGTAGCAACCTAACCTTAATTACTACTACCCCATGGAAAAGAAAAATAAATAAATAAAAATCAAATCCCGACAGAAAATTGACCTAGGGACGGAGTCAGAAATACAGTTTAACGCGGGTGAGTTTAAGCAAGGTTGAACTTTGAATTTTCAGGATCCGTGACGAACTTTAAATTGGAGCCCTTAAATTATAGTATAAAATATGTATTCAAATGTTTCTTGACTAATCTTTAAACTCGAAGGATTTATTTACCTTAACCAAGTCCTTACTATGAACTAAATAACTCGGAAACTTGGACAGAATTGGAGTCCCAATTCCATCTTTCATTCTAAAATGAAACATATTCAAATTGACTTACACATGTTTGGGTTTGTACAAAAGTGAGCAGTCTGTCTCTCATATTTCCGCATATAATCAGCTTGCTCATGCTCTCAAAAAGCCACTCCCTTGTGTTTGTCTTCACCTGCAATTCAAGCATTACTTGCAAAATAAATCGAAGGAATCTAAAGATAACAATCCTTCAACAGCAACAATTCAAATAACCCCACATGTCAATAATATTCAAAGAATAAGATACTTTCTTTTCTAAACTTTAGTATTAACTTTTCTAATTCACTATCGTCTCCGGTGAAACCTATAAATAGATACAAGAAAACTTTGAAATTTATGAATAGTTACTAAACAAAATTATTTCATCATTTCTTGGTAATGGAATAGACTACATAATATTAAAGATAACAATTATGGTCCTTGGACTGGGATTGGTTACAGGGAGGAGTGGCAGGGCAGGATTGAGTGTTGTATTTTATTTTATTTTTTGTTCAAAATGTTTAATTATGTATTGACACATGTCTCCTCTATCATTGAATATGTCATTAAGCTCGTCACTATAGCAAAATTGTTAAAGATAAATGACTCTTGGAAGGGAGCCCAAGATGCAAAGCAACACAAAGATACAAAATTCACGCTGCATCTATGTCTACAAAATCCACTGGACGGAGTTTATATATGTAATTAAGCATATACACCAAATAAAGTGATTTTTGTTAGAAAATCAAATTAGATCCAAATATAAATTAAATCCTAGGATCAACATCATGCTAAATTACTAGGATTCACAAATTCAGATAATATACCTGTATCCATTGTAAACGATTGCCTACTGTTGCGAAATTACTGCGACAATCGACTACGTACCAATGAATGTAAATGAAGAGGGTGGTTTCGTGATCTTCCTCAACCAAATCTCCTTATTCCTCAATGGGACCGTGATTTCTCTTCTTGATGGGGAGAAGGAAAAAGAGTGTATAATTTGGTATATTGAGGATCATAACCAAAATAACCTTTATATACTACTTAATTAAGGTTCCCATTATCCCTTAATTAGAGTAATATTAGCCGGTATCTACTCACTTAGTCCATATTAATTTGAATAGTCTATGGGCATACAAAAAATAGACCACTTGATTTTTGCCCATTATATTAAATGTTAATATGTATTAATATGTTGCCAATATTAATTTAGGAAAATCATGTTTTTCTAACAATCTCCCACTTGGCTACATATTATTCCTTAAACAATTATATTACAAAACTCCTTAGGTGCGCATCTGTATGCTATTTATCATTAGACTGCTCCTTAAACAATCTTGTCCATCTCATACACTAATAATGGAACCACCGCAACTTTCATCACAATACATTAGTGATTAAACCACGATGATCAACATATTAATACACTTAATGGCACAGATCAAATATGGATGAGTAGCATGGAAATTTACATGAAATGTGATCTCAAACATGCATATTTCCAACTGGTCCTTCTTTAGTGAGATCATTCCAAAGTCCTTAATGCAATGCAAACATTGCACAATGAAAACACAAGAAAACTCAGAAATAGAATCATAGCCATCAACTTTATTCTGCAGAAGGTTAAATAATTTAATGTCTAAAGCAAACATATAGAACATAAAATTGACTCCCACTAGACTAGAATATCCTCGGAAATAACGTCCATGTGAACAGTGTGCTCATGAAAGACCTTCGGCGTTAAGCCCTTGGTTAGTGGGTCCGCTAGCATGGAATTTGTTCCTATACGTTCTATGGAAATCTGTTTATCTTGAACTCTCTCCTTAACAACTAGAAACTTGATATCAATGAATTTTGACTTTGTCGAACTCCTATTGTTGTTGGAGTAAAGCACCGCTGAGTTATTATCACAATAAATCTTTAATGGCCTGTCAATGCCATCTATCACTCGTAGTCCAGTGACAAAGTTTCGTAGCCATATTCCATGGTTGGATGCCTCATAACAAGCAATGAACTCCGCAACCATGGTTGAAGAAGCTATGAGAGTCTGTTTAGCAGACTTCCATGAGATAGCTCCTCCAGCCAACATAAAGATGTAGCCTGATGTGGAGCGTCTGCTATCTTGGCATCCCGCAAAATTGGAGTCAGAGAATCATATGATCTCTAAACTATCTGATCTCCGATAAGTAAGCATGTAGTCTTTTGTTCTCCTCAAATAACGCATCACGCGTTTGGCTGCTTTCCAATGTTGCATGCCAGGATCACTCAAGTATCTACCCAAAACTCCCACTATAAATGTTATGTTGGGACGAGTACAAATTAGAGCGTACATTAGACTCCCTACCACTGGTGCATAGGGAATCTTCTGCATCTCTTCTCTTTCAAGATCATTATTGGGGCACTGTTTGAGACTAAACTTGTCTCCTTTAGAGATGGGCGTGTCTCCTGGTCTACTATCTTTCATGCCAAATCTACTCAAAACCTTATCGATAAAGCTCTTTTGTGAAAGTCCAAGGATACCTCGAGAACGATTTCTCAGTATCTGAATACCTAATATAAAAGAGGCATCCCCAAGATCTTTCATCTTGAATTTCTTCGTCAGAAATTTATTGATTTCATGCAATAAGCCTATATCGCTGCTAGCGAGTAGAATGTCATCAACATATAATACCAAGAAGATATATATACTCCCACTGAACTTATGATATACACAGTCATCAACAACATTTGCCTCAAAATCGTACGAGGTAATGATTTGATGGAACTTGTGATACCATTGACGGGAAGCTTGTTTGAGACCATAGATGGATTTCTTCAACTTACAAACCATAGACTTTGGATCTCCTAATACAAAGCTTTCTGGTTGTACCATGTAAATTGTCTCATCAATGTCTCCATTGAGAAACGCAGTCTTGACATCCATCTGATGTAGCTCTAGATCAAAATGAGCCACTAGTGCCATTATTGTTCTAAAAGAGTCTTTCGAAGATACTGGAGAAAAAGTCTCTTTGTAGTCTATGCCTTTCTTTTGAGTAAAGCCTTTAGCGACTAGACGAGCTTTATATCTCTCGACACTGCCTCTTGAATCCCTCTTGGTTTTAAATATCCACTTACAACCAATGGGCTTCACACCTTTAGGCAACTCGACGAGATCCCAAACGTCATTATCTTTCATAGACTTTATCTCATCTTTCATGGCATCAATCTACTTCTGAGAGTTAGAACTGCGCATGGCCTGATGGAAGTTGATCGGGTCATCCTCCGTTAAACCAACGCCATCCTCATGTTCTTGAAGAAAGACGATATAATCATCTGAAATCGCATTTCTTCTCTCCCTAGTGGATCTCCTTAATAGCACTTCTTGAGGTTGTTGAGTTTGTTCTATAGGTGGTGCTTGAGGAAGAATCTCATTGTTGTCTTGGTCTGAAACAATGTTAGGAATAGGAGCCTGAACATTGTCATCTATTGCCAGAACTGTGTCTTGAACAACAATAGGTTCAGAGACCTGATTGCTGTCAATAACAGATTATTCTTCAAAGACAACGTTCCTTATGTTTCCTTTCCCTCCAAACTCAATATCCTCAAGGAATCTCACATTTCTCGTTTCAAAGAAGGATCTTGATGTGGGATAGTAAAACTTATAGCCCCGAGAGCATTCAGCGTAACCAACGAAATAGCAGCTAACCGTCCTTGAGTCCAGTTTTCTTTCATGTGGCCTATAAGGCCGTGCCTCAGCTGGACAACCCCAAATGTGCAAGTGCTTAATGCTAGGCTTCTTACCTGTCCACAGCTCATAAGGGGTTTTGGCAACTGCCTTGCTTGGTACGCTGTTAAGAATGTACACTGCGGTCTTCAAAGCTTCTCCCCAAAGTGACTCTGGTAAGGAGGAATGACTTATCATACTCCTTACCATATCCTTAAGAGTTCGGTTTCGTCATTCTGCAACACCATTCATACTAGGTTTGCCCGGCATGGTGTATTGCGGAACAATTCCACACTCATTGAGGAAAATAGCGAAGGGTCCTGGACGTTGTTCTCCTGATCCATCATATCTTCCGTAGTATTTACCACCACGGTCAGATTTGATAGCCTTTATTTTCTTTCCAAGTTGAAGCTTAATTTCAGCTTTAAAAGACTTGAAAACATCCAGGGATTGAGACTTCTCGTGTATTAAATATAGGTAACCGAATCTAGAGTAATCGTCTATGAACGTAATGAAGTATTGTTGTCCATTCCAAGAAGCCGTAGGGAATGGCCCACATATATCAGTATGTATCAGTTTTAAGACGTCTGTAGCTCTCTCGGCACCTAATTTTCTCATGTTTGTTCTTTTCCCCTTGATGCACTCAACACAAACTTGGAAGTTTGTTAAATCTAGGGGTTCAAGAATTTCGTCCGACACAAGCCTCTGAATTCTCTGCTTAGAGATATGACCTAAACGCTTGTGCCATAAAGTGGCAGAATTCTCACTTAATTTTCGCTTTGTACCACGTGAACTTGTTTGCAATATTTCGTTATAGGAACTAACAATATCAAGTATATACAGATTATCAATCATATAACCGGAACCAACAAAATTTGAATTTTGATAGAGACTAACTTTATTATTTCCAAATGAACAAGAAAATCCTGATTTGTCCAAACTAGAAATAGAAATTAAATTTCGTCTAAAGGACGATGCAACAAATGTCTCAAACAAATCCAAATAAAACCCAGTTTTTAATTGTAGTCTGAAAGTCCCTATAGACTTTACCGCAACTTTATTGCCATCGCCCACAAAGATGAATCTTTCAGCATCATTTGGCGATCGGCTCCACAGGCAATCCTGCATGGACATACTTATATGAGTAGTAGCACCAGAATCTACCCACCAAGTATCCTTAGGTACAGAAGCTAAATTAACTTCAGAACAAACTAAAGTTAGAAGCATACCCTTCTTTACACGCCAGGCAGCGTATTTGGGACACTCCTTCTTCATGTGTCCTGACTTCTTACAGAAGTAGCAAGTAAACTCCTTATCCTGCTTCTTCTGCAGAGAAGTTCATTCCACAGCATCCTTAGCTCTCTTCTTTTTCTTGTTCTGAGAGGTTGAGGCCAAGTGAGCACTCTCAGTCTTATCACACTGTTGCCTCTCT